GCTAATTACCCATGGGGGGAAAGGAAGGAAATGATCAATTGTGAGAAGCATCACGAGTGTGATAATTTCATAATATTGCATTAGATCCGCATAAATTCAATCTCAAATGAAAGTCTTCAAAAATCTTTTGAATTCTACAAAAGTCTCTAAAAGTTTTAAAATGAAAGTTTATAAAATTCTATAAAAGACTTCCACTAATTCTATACAAATCTCTAACAAGTCCAAGAAATCCACACGTCATCACTTAAAAAAAGTCCATCAAAGTCTTCAAAAGTCCCAATTGAATACACCCCTCTTAGAGTTGAGATGCGGACTGCCCTTCAGCTGGTAGGAAATTGAGGCACCACATTCCTTTCTCTCTCCCTTCCTCCAGCCCACCTGCCTCCTCCCCGTCTTAAATAATTTCCTCTTACTGAGCCTCTATTGCTAATTCGCTACACCAACCATTCTATAATCACCAGCCCGTCTCCTCCCTTTCTTGAACTTCTTTCTTTTCAGCTCCATTGCAATACCACTGCCTCTATTCTACCTTGGAGGAATAACAGAGAAGGCAAGGAAGAGGAGCAGCTGCATAGGGAAAATGGTGTATGGGATGGTGACGGTTTAGCGCAAATGAAGACTATTAAAATGAAAAATATTAATTAGTCGACGTATTTCACCATCATTCTTAGAAGAAGAATGCAATGTATTAAACCTTTCTTACAATTGGTACAATGCCTCCTCTGATCTAATCGACATGCAAAGAAGACAACGACTGAACTTCAATTAAAATTAATCTGTCTCACTATCTTAGTCATCTAGTTTATGATTAGATAACATATATTTTGAAATAATCAATTACCAAAGAAGTGCTTACAATTGAAGCATTAAAACATTTTATAGAACTAATTCACTCCATAAAACATTTCCTTGTAATTTACTATATGATAAAAAGCATTAGAACAATTACTCATAATTGAAGTAAACACGATTCTGTTCCACATTATACGAGCTGATAATCAATACATCCGGCTGATGAAAGACACATAATTGAAATAGCTATCCAAGATGAGGTGAAAACTATTGGAGCCATCATCACCTACAAACAATAAAATGCAAAACAACAGAAACAGTGTGAATAAGATTACCAAGAGGCATTCAGTTGGACCCGGGGTCAAGCACAGGAAGCCGGCAATGCAGACTGATCGATTTATCAGTTTGCCTAGTACCAGGAATAAAGAACTGAAAAATCACAGTCAAGCAAGAACCCTGTGGTGCAATTCCATAGAAAGCACAATCTGGCCTTGCCAAACTACATTGTAAACTCTTAAAAAAGTGCTTGACACTCACTTGCACTGTCATTGCATCCCCTCTCTGCACAGCCCTCTCAGTCCTACTCTGAGCACTCAAATTCCCATCCTCAGGCCTCTCATTCGCACGCTCACCAATCACCATTAGCTTCCTGAACTCGGCCCCAAGCCTGATCAAAGTAGTCGACATCTGCAAGTGCAAATCACCGTACTTACTTATCGAAACCCCCATCACATCTCCTACATGCTTCATCCTATCAACAAAGTTTTGCAACGAATTCAGTTCTGGAACTTTAACTAATGTCTTGGGCATTTCTTGAGCACCGTCCAGCGCCATTTGGAGCTCCTGAACATCAGCCCTCGATAAGGGTTTCGATATGGGCACATCCTGTATGACAGCAGATTTACTACCTTTAGTTTCAAACGTCAAAAACGGCGTGGGCTGGTTCGAATGCGGGGGCAATTTCTTAACTAACTTTATCTGTAAACGACCAAAATTAAACTCCGGCGGATTATGAGCCTCTCCGGATTCTGCATAAATGGTGAGAATGCTGCGTAGTGCCCGGTGGAGGAGTGAAAGGTCTATGGAAAAGGCAATTTTATCATCGTTTTGGCTAGAAATCCGGTAATCTTCGAAAAGGGCTTCTTTCTTGAACTGGGCTACGGATTGAATTCCATGGCCAGTGAGGAGATTGTGGAGGAAAATGGCGTGGTCACGGGTCAAATAGAGATGGGAAACTTTGCCCATTTTGTCTAATGCTGGGAGGATTCTCTTCTCCAGGAGATTTATGCCATTTTCAGTGAGAAATGCTTTGAATTTCATTTTGATGGACGAATATTTGAAGACCGAGGGTTTTGGAATTGGGAAAAATGGAGGGAAGCGATATTAATAGCAAAGTTGCAGTCAAATTAGTTTGGGAGAATTACATAATCGGTGCCTAATTTATTGTTCAAGTAGCATGTTAGACATTAAATTTTAAAATTGAGCAAGTTTGTCCAGTTGTTTTCACTATAATTGCAACTCCAGACATGTCTTGTATAGAATTGAAGAAATTGTAATTTATAAAAATTATGATATGATCCACATTTTTAAAGGCCCAGTTCATTCAGAATACAGTGAGGCCCAACCCGATCATTGACGGACCTGTTAATTGGGCCATTTGTTTGTGGATCCAAACATCAACCCAATAAGTATTGTTCTGTGAACCATGCTTCTCTACATGAAGCATGGTTCAATAAATAAATACGGATCGTATCAAATTCAACGAGAAGCTCAACATAGGTAGAAGATTAGAAGATATAGTTATTTCATTTCTAACTTCAATCATACTAAATAGATCTATCATTGGATTATTTAAAATACAATCAGCTTTTTTTATTTCACATCTTATTATAATTTATTATATGTCAACCCTGAGGTGGTCAGGTCTTGAGTTTGCTCCCAAATGGTCACCAATTCGAGTTCCCTCATGACTATTGAGGTAAGTACTTTACTGTAAACTTCAGGATCCCTTGAAATCAGTCGATGTGCACGCAAGTTGGCACGAACATTCACGGTTATCAAAAAAAATTTATTATATGTCACTCTATTTGTTACCTACTTTTCGGCAAAGTAACGTTATTTTTCTAACTTAAACATGTTGATCGATCAATTTCTATACATTAGTAATCTTTTTGCAAAGTCAAATTATTTAGCAATAAAATATTAGATTAGACAGCAAAAACCAAGTATCCCTCCTAACCACCTTATCGACTCTTGCATTTTTAAATCTATCACGAAGAGGAAATTGTAAAAAATGTCAACTTTTACATAATCATTTGCAAAAATATCTAAAATTTCTTCAATGTCCATTTTATTATAATTTATACCAAAATACCATTATTAGCAATTTTAAGTTCCACAATGAGGACAAAATTATTCATATAATTGAAAATTGTATTGATCAATAATAACTTGATATATAACATATACTGCTTATTTTAACGAGCACCATGCCAATCATGCATCAAATACTCACTTTAAAACATTAATGAAATGTCGAGATCCATACTTAAAAGTCAAGAACATTATGAAATGTAGAAAATTCTCATATTCAAAACGAAATCTCGTTCTAGACAAATGAAATGTCGAGTGTCGAAATAAACATGATCCAAATGTTGATAACAACTTTTAAAATGTCGAGAATGTCATTAAATGTTAAGAATAATAACTATTAAACACAACTCATCAACAAAAGCAAGATTTAAAATAAAAATTACCTTCTAACGAAAATTGTGAAAAGCCTAATCAACTCAAAAATTTGGATGATATTAATTTTTTCGAAATAAAATTATATGATTTTCTTACGAAGAATGGAAAGCATATAGCTTTTTAGTGTTGATGGCCTTTCTACTCCATCTTCTTCAAATAAATCAATTAGGTATTAGATAGCATTAAGGGCGTGTTCGGTAGAGATTAAAATTGAAAAATTAGCTGTTATTGTTGACTTTCATTAGACGAGTGGGACCCAATAATGACTATATTTTCAATTTTAATTGAATTTTAAACACGACCGACACTTTTCAATTGACAAACGTGAAATTGACCATTTTTGTAAATTCCCTTCTATGAAATTATCATTTAATTAATTAAACATTTCTGTTGCTTTATCAAATCATATACCCCATAATACGAGGAAATGCAAGGTTTGTGGATCCTTCGGGCCAAAGATCTAATCGAAGCGTCACATGTAACGAGATCATTTCATAGATATGTTGTCTGATTTATTTCAACCAAAAAGGGTCGTATCATCAATTCTTGTTTGAGTTTGAAATTCTCATTAAAGTGTCAATGATATATCAATTGTCTTAAATCACATATTTTTTGTTACAAAATTGCACTCTAAACTGACATCCCATTTCATGTTATTTTTCTGCTCAGATTTTTAATTTTTGACACGATAAAAATGTAGAGAAATAAATATTTAAAAAAATAAAATTAAACGACATTTTGTACTCCTACGCGTGCCTTCTTTCTATAGATGACTTGTGTAGGCCCAGGTTAGGATTGGCCAAGAAACCTAGGCTAGTTCTAGACTCGAGAGCCAATCATTAAGGATTTAGAAACAAAATGGATAAAGAGAGGATAAAATCAAAAGATTGTCAATTTTTACACCTTCTTTTGTTAGATGAAATGTACCTTTAAAAACACGAGTAACATTTATTGAATCAGACGTTAAATTTTGAATGTCAAAAATGAAACAATTGAACGGTCGACCATTATACTAAATACACGATTAGTATACTTACGATCATAATTACTAATAACTATTTGCAACTATGTAATTCAATTTGAAAATAGTGATTTAAATTATAAAATATTGTTGATAATAGAGATGTATACTAAACCTAGAGAAGGTGGGCTTGTGGGATATAAATGGAGGGCCCAATCAACAAGTTAATAAATAATGAGGTGATCATGCTCGACACTACACCACGCGTGCACATAAACAGTGATCCTCTGCATTTTGTCTTTGCGGGTCCATGGATAGGATCATATGAGGATACAATGCAATTAAGCCTTTTCAAAGATAGAGATTTAAATGCACATGGTGTTGGTCAAGGGACTGTTGTGGGTCGAGCTGTAGAGGGTATCGCAAGACAGTCAGAGGCAGAGGAAAAAATACGAGGTACTCTATTGCTCGGTCTAGCTTTTATGGAAACTTTTAACAATTTATGGATTGGTTGTAGCATTAACAGTTTTATTTGCAAATCATTTTGTTTAATCTTAGAAATATGAAAAATATGTCATGTTTGGCAATGCTTATGAGCGTTTATAAATTGATCAAAATTTATTTTTATCTTCATATTGCGCGGACCAAAACTTTTGCCTACTTTATAACTAACATTTTTTAAGACTCACGACTTACAAGTAATTAAAAAAAGTTTAAGTCAAACAAGCACTACTTCTCAAGATTCATTGATTTGCTAGGAAAACAAAAAAAAAATGATTTATGTGTCAACTCATAGACATAGTTATGTAAATTAATTTTTTGGTATGACTATTTTGAAATCACGTGTGATATGACTAGTGTTGTCGTGACAAATAAACGAGTGATAACAAATGAGCTGTGTCGAGAGAAAATAAATATTAGTCAATAAAGTTAAAAGTTTATTAGTGCAGACGACAATATGTGACAAATGTAATGTTTCAAACAGGTGTAAATATGGAGTCATATTTTACAGTAACATGTTTGGTATGTTGTATTAAAACGTATCCAATTAAAATTGAAAAAATAAAATATTAACGTTATTGCTGCAAAAAAAAGGAAAAGGAAAATTTGATATTTAGTTGCATTTTAAATTGAAATTAAATACGAATGGATATAGATTGTTGAATTAATAAATACTTAAATTGTATGGATTAAGGAAAGAGAAATGTGAACCATGCTTATCTAAAATATGATACGTAGAGCACGATACGTTTCTATCATTGGATTCCTACGTACAAACAAACAACATTTTTTTATATTTAGCCCATGTTTAGTTTGGATGAAAATAAAATTTAAATTTTTAGTCAAAATTAATGATTATTTTTAAATATACATTTCAGGGAATTTACAGTTTTTCAATCATGCATTTTATCAATTTTTATCAGAATATACTAAAAAAAATAGATTTTAATCTACACCAAACAGAGCCTTATATTATTCCAAGTATAAAAAAATACGAAGAAGACACTTTTAGGATAGCAGAACGAGTGAAAGTTAACTCTTTTGCTCTTTAATTATGTTCGCATTTCAGCGTACAAATAAGTTGCAAGGGATAAAGGTAGAGGGGATAAAGGTATTCGTCCAACTATATTCCAGTTAATTAACAATTGAATGAGAATCAATAAATTGTTCTTCACGTGTGAATAGGTAAAGTCTCGTTGCTCATGAATGCAGTCAATAAATTGTTCTTCACGTGTAAAAAAGTAAAGCTTTGTTGCTCCCACGTCCATGATGAAAAATGAGTAATGTTACGTGTATCAATCGAGGATGATATCCACACGTTTAATTAATGTTATATTACCATTTTATCCACGTCATGTGGCAACAATCCTCACTTTATATATATAGAACATTATTTGCGAAAATTTGAATCTAATATTAAAATAATAATTAAATAGTTGGATTCGAAGTTTAAGGCAAATGAATGACGCTAGTCAATGGATTAGCATGCTTGGAAGCCAAAAAGAAGAATGATGTTCGGCTTTAAAGGAGATAGAGGAGTAGATGCTAACACATCACATCGTCATCTTATAAAAAGGTAAATGATATTGTATATCTTTACACATGTATGATTTACGATTAAAGCCAATACTGTGGCTCCTAGATTTTCTCTATGAAATCCTTTTACTCCTATTATTATTAATCATAAACGAGTTTGTTGAAAATTTTTATTAACATTTTCTTTATAAGATTCTTTTTCTATTAAGTTTAAATATATAAATTGATCTTCTCAGACCATCTTCAAAGGCAAATACTCAAATAAAAATTAGACAGATTGATTACGACAGACAAATCTTTTGTTTACGTGACAATGGGTCAACGTCCAATGTCGAACAAATATAATAGTTTTAATTGCACTGGATAATGTGGTGGTGATCCCACTACCACATAGATTAGGGATCATTTCCAATAGAAATGAATAACACTAGTCGATTATAAGGAATGTTATCGTGATTCGTGAAAATAAATGAGATTTAGATATATCGTGATCCACATAAAAGGGGAAAAAAATATTATGAGTTGTAAGAACAAACATTTTTCCTCATTCTATTCAATACCCAAAAAGACCATA